CACACACACACACACACACACACACACACACACACACACACACACACACACAGGCAGCTCATTGAACATTACTCACGTGCAGAGGATTGACTGATCTTCTCTGTCTGTGGAAAAGAAAAACACCATAAGACTCTCAGGTTGAAACAAATGGTTTTATGACACTGCTTCTGTAGTTTAGCTTAAAGTGGCAAAGTTATATAGATTTGTTGGTGTTCATCGTATTTACAGTCAGGTCCTGAGGGTTATTATAGTTCACTAAAGCTAACTAAACAACGAAAACTGAAATAGAAAAAAACCCAAACATTTTAGTTAACTAAAATAAATAAAAATTGTAATAAAATGAAAAAACCTAACTAAAACTGTATAATCTTTTTACAAAACTGACTAAAACGAACTGAAATTATAGATAGAATATCTAATAGTGTTAGTGTTTGTCAATTTATTTTGAGCCATGTGGATCTTTTATTTTCTTTTCAAATTGAGTATTTTCACATTAGCTGTGGTCTGTAACAACACTTGGTTAACTATGACTGTCTCGACATGCTAGCTTCTCTCAGTAGCTCCATGAAAAACAAGCAACAGGTAGCAGCAGGTTGGAGACAACTATTGTCATCGTCCTAAAATAATCACCCAAGATTTTAGTTGGAAAAAGTGAGTTACACAATTATTTTAGGAAAGTGTTATAATGGACTGATTTAACTAGTGACCTGATAGCTGTTGGTTAGTTAACTCACAGGAACATCACAAGCTGGAGGATGCAGTGGTAAATATGTTTATTCAAACTATAAAAATAAACTAACACTAGAACTAATAAAAACTAATCTAAAACTAAGCATTAAAATGCAATAAAAACTAAGAAAAACTATCAAATCCACTGTAAAACTAATTAAAACGGACTGAATTAAAAGAAAAAAGTCACAACGAAATAAAACTAATGAAACATCCAAAACTCTTATAACCTTGGTCCTGACGACCAGTTGTGTTTATTTAAATTTTCTCCTGACACATTAAACCTTACAAATGAAATAAGGCCTGTTTGAGCCATGACTAGGGCTGCCACAAACGATTATTTTTATAATCGATTAATCACCGATTATTTTTTTTCGATTAGTCGACTAATCAGATCATACGTTAATTGAATATAAAACATAGAGCTTATCGTGCCAGAATGCAGCTGCTATTATATAACCATCGTTAGATTTTAGCTATATGCTAACTAAAAATAATTGCTGTGGAAGGTAAGTTCTGCTCTGCAGATATTACACAGGTTTCTCTTTCATTTTCTTAAAATGATCCCACACTTTGAGCTCTGTTGTCAGGTAGCCATGATACCAGAGCCTGTCTGTATAATGTCTTGTGACGTCCACGGCCTACCCCAGTTACCACTACTGTTCACGAGTGTCAAGGACAGAAAGGCAGATGTGGCAGTGGTAGGTGTCATAGCAGTTTGGTGAGTAAAATAATGTTAAGAAAAAAAAAGAAAACGATTAATCGATTATTAAATTAGTCATCGATTATTTTAATAATCGATCAGTCGTCGATTAATCAATTAATCATTGCAGCCCTAGCCATGACTGTAAGCAGATGGATCTGTGTTTGTCCCACATTCATACCTAAACTGGTCTCTTCAGACTGCCAAACCACACAGCTCTGGCAGCCAATGGGTGGACACGGTTTGTAACGACGGTGGTATTTGCCTTTTCAGATTCTCATGCGTTCAGCTGGAAGGAATTCATACTGGTCCTACAGGTTGAATCACTGCGGTAACACACCTACTGTCGCTGCTGAGCCCCCTCAGGGATGGTAGCCGGAGACACACAACCTCATCTCTCCCATCTTATTATTCCACACAGACACGCAGAGGCAAAAGTGTTGCACAATCAACGTTTAACGGCTTGAAATGGTTGCTGGGAACTCTGGGTGTCTCGTTTCATGAAGTCAGAAATATTTGTCCTGTGTCGCTCCGAGCAGGTGACTCACGCATCAAATGTATAATTAATTACGTCACTGGATGTGAGTTTGGTTTCTAGGAGTGTCTTGCCTACCGAGCTCAGTCGTGAAAAAGCATTCTCACTTTCAACACGTTTGATAACAACCACGCGTCGAGTAAACGACACGCCTTCTAAAAGCATTCGTGACGAGGCTTCAGCGAGACCAAAGATCACGGAGCTTAGAGAGCACCAAACTGAGCTGATATGAAATGTCTGAGATAGCCACAGGCTTAGTGTTAGTCACATGTCGATCCAGGTCGATTACCTTGCAGCATGCTGCGATAGGCCGCCTCTGATATGGCGTAGATGTGCGGGGGCATCTCGTGGCGTTTCTTGCCCCGGTACATCTCTACGATGGACTCTGTGTAGATCGGTAGGTTCTTGTAAGGGTTCACCACCACGCAGAACAGCCCTGAATATGTCTGAAACAAAAAGGGACACAGATGTTCACACTGACTTTTTTATGTTAAACGTTTATTTAAAAAAAAGGAAATTTAATTTAAAAAAAATTGTACAGATGTAAAGTGATGTCTGTCTTACAACTGTTGTTTGGCAAATGTAGATAGCATTTTCTTTCAAAATACAGGTTATTTGAAGTGGATTTCTGTGTATCTTACCTGTTGTACATGGCTCTTTCAGCTTGGAGAAATGGTTTAAAAATGGTTTAATTTTGACCCGATTGTCAAGCTAACAGCTAGTCTGAGAAAGGCTAAGAAAATAATAAAAAAAACTCTAATCTCAAAACTTAAGATGAGGTAAAGCTTTCTAAAATATAATACATGCTATGAATATATAGAGGCTGGTGTTATTGTAAGACGGCAGCAATTTACCGTATTTATTCGTGTATAATACGATCTCATGTATAATACGACCCCCCCGCCCCCTTTTTTATCTTAAAAAGCATAAAAAATTTAATCCTCAAACTACCTCCAATTTCATACAGACTTCAAGATTTTTCAGCGTTTGCAGTGTCATGGTCTGTGTTTATTTTCTTTAACTTTCTAGTGTTTTCAATGTTCCCCTGTGTTGCTATGCCCTACAGCCCCGCCCATGCACACCTGATCCCTCTTGTGTCTCCCCAAGTTTTTCCGATTGTCTCTTAATTTGTTTGCCTTTATTTTTGGTGTCTTGTCCTCAGTCTGGGTACGTTCATTGTGCTGTTTACCCAGCCAGTGTGGTGTGTTCCTCATGTTGCCCTGAGAAGTTATCAGTGAGTTTTTGAGCTGCTTTTCAGCCCTCTTTTGTTTGTTAAACTTTATTTTTCTCTTTGGACTTTTGCCTGCGCTGTGGGTCATTCTGCCTCACACCTCACATGCAGTCTTTATACATATCAGTAAAATGATCATTGGACTGTTCATTTTATTTTAACAACATATGTACTAAAAGGTATTTTGACAACAAATATATATCAGCTGTAGCAGCATCATATGAATTCTGGCATTTTACACATAGTCCACCAGGAGGCGCCAACACAAAAGTCACAGACTTCACATGAGATTTGGGCCATCTTCTGGGGGAAAAGCAGATTATTTCCCACTCGCGAGTGCCCCCTCTGGTAGGGAAACTTTTTTCAGGGATACAAACTTTTTCAGAACACCGGTAGATGGCCGCCATTACAGACGAACATGTGTTTGTTGTTGTTCGAGGAGCGCCTCAGTCACACGCTAATGTCAATAGTTTGTTATTATTACTAAGGTGCAGGACTGCTATTTTCCCCTGTTTTTTTTTTTACATCATGTCTCCTGCCTGGATCTGTTACTATCTCGCTCTCTGAGGTAAGTTTGTTTCAACTGCTTTTTAAAATGCGGTCTCATTTCCGGACTCAATAATTTAGCCTATATTTCAGTTAATATACATTAGTAAAAATATTTATCCAAGTACAATACTACCCCACAACTTTATGGATTTTATGGATTAAATTTTATGTATTATACTTGAATAAATAGGGTAGTTTGATTTTGGCCTCACTTAGACTAGCTGTAACCTGTCATTCTGATCAACATTAAACTTTATTTCTTTAAATGAAATGCCTTCCAGGAGCTATCTATAACAGGTAAGATATTAATTGTTTATAACTTTTCACAGAGCCTCACTTCAAAAAATCTAAACCAGGGCTATTCAACTAAATTGCTCTGGGGGCCACAGTTACTGCAGGTCAACAACTGAGGGGCCGAACATCCATCAATTAAAGTTATTAAGTAAATAAGCCAAGTATTACAAAGATCTGCTATCTTTGAAATAGTTTATTTTGCTGCATTTAATCATGATTAGAACATACAGAACCCTAAAAAAAAGTAGTCATAATTCAACAATATCAGAAACAAAAGGAACACATTATGCCTCCTATTTGACACAAATATTATTTTGACATCTCTGACTTGCCAAATTTTTAAACCAATTTTATTTTCCCTTTCATAGTTCTATCTTCAACTGCTTGTAGTTTTAACTGTCTTGATTGTGCATAGGAATGGTTTATACCAGCTTGTAGCCAAGGTCTTGACGTTTCTGTTGATACCAAACATGTCTATGTCTAGCTAAAAGAACTTAGAGTAATTAAAGTAGAAAACCGGGGGTTTGGGCTGAAGAGATGAATGAACCAATTGGCGGGCCAAACTTTGGTCACTCGTGGGCCGGATTTGGCCCGCGAGCCGCCAGTTGAATAGCCCTGATCTAAACTATGCTTTTAACTCTTATAAAGCTTATTTAGCTTTTTGTGTGTTTTCAGTAGTTTTGATTTTTGTTGTAATTTACCTTCATTTTGATCACATTCTGGGGATAAAAAAGTAGCAAATTTAAGTTTTATTCTTCTGCTGCTGCCTTTCATTTTACTTGATTTTATTTTGATTGCATGTTTTTTTGTTCTTCGTTGTGTATATAATTGTTACAAATGAAATAATAAAGAAATCCAGATTCTAAAGTGAGAAAGAAAGTGTTTAAAGAAGAGAAAAAAAAGAAAATTATCATGGAGAGGTGTTTCTGACAGGTCATACCTCTGGCGGTTATTTGTTCAAAGTAAACACAAAGTTTAATCCTCCGGTGATTAATGTGTCTGAGTGAAGGGATCATAATGGACATGTTCTCTCTTGTTTCAGATTATTACTTTTAATGTCAAAAGGTGTAAAACCATACAGCATGAATCCTTCTCCTCCCAATGCAGCAGCTGTGTCAGAGCTCTAAAATGTCTATTACCAGTTTGACCTTTACTCCACAAGCAATAAGCACAACATTATCATCTCTATTACTGATTGCAGAGCTGTGATTTAAATGACTCAGGATTTTTTTTTTAAAAAGCCCTACATTCCCAATTCCATACAACTAACCTTTAAAAAATAATCACAATTTTGCTAATTCCCAGAATAAGTTTATATTTAAATAAATCAATAACATCTACAAACATGTATAAGAAAGTAAATGTGTTTATCAGTTCCACTGATGCTTTTATTATGCATTCCAGGTGTAGTGAAAGTCTGAAATATGCAGGCACTTCCACTATCTTATCTCACATTTAGTTTGCCTTTCTGTGGTATGCAAATAATCCTTGTTTGCTCCTCATTTCTCAAGTTCTCTGCCCGGCTGCATCACCCATTATTCCCTCCATTAAAAGGAAGTTCAATATACATTTATTAGCTTTCTTGTTACACTGCTCTGATTACACATGCTATCAAGCTGACTGCTGTCAGGGCCAAAGGTCTATAAAGTACTTAAAAAATAACTACCGTATTTATTCATGTATAATACGATCTCATGTATAATATGACCTCATGTATAATATGATAATATGATCTCATGTATAATACGATCTCATGTATAATATGACCCCCCCCACCCCCATTTTTATCTTAAAAGCATAAAAAATTTAATCCTCAAACTACCTCCAATTTCATACAGACTTCAAGATTTTTCAGCCTTTGCAGTCTTTGTACATATCAGTAAAATGATCATTGGACTGTTCATTTTATTTTAACAACATATGTACTAAAAGGTATTTTGACAACAAATATWTATCAGCTGTAGCAGCATCATATGAATTCTGGCATTTTACACATAGTCCACCAGGAGGTGCCAACACAAAAGTTAAAGACTTCACATGAGATTTGGGCCATCTTGTGGGGGAAAAGCAGATTACTTCCTACTCGCGAGCTCCCCCTCTGGTGGGGAAACTTTTTTCAGGGATATAAACTTTTTCAGAACACCGGTAGACGGCAGCCATTACAGACGAACATGTGTTTGTTGTTGTTGGAGGAGCGGCCCGGTCACATGCTAATGTCATTAGTTCGCTACATTACTAAGGTGCAGGAATACTTTTTTCCCTCTTTTTCACATCATGTCGCCTGCTTGGATCTGTTACTATCTCGCTCTGAAGCAGCCCTCAGATAGATTTTCATTTTGGGGAAAAGCTTTGTGCAGCCTTGATATATGTATATAAACTGAAACAGCTGGACTAGTGCATCCTAAATTTAACATCCATTCATTTTTTTAATACAACAGTCATTTCTGCAGTTTTTGGGGAGGTCACCTCCTAATAAATGTCCTTACAGAAAATCTAACTGCTCATTTAAATCAATACTTTGACTTTTAAAACTTAAGGACAAAAATATCATACATTAAGACTTTTACTCAAGCAATATTCCTAAAGGAGACTTTAACTTTTACCAAAGTCATTTTTTGGTAAGATACTTGTACTTTTACTCAAGTATCACTTTGTGGTACTTCATTCAACACTGATCCCCAGAATGCCGTGCGGTTCTGGATCAGAGTTCAGTGAATTTATCAACATTCTATTATATTTTCTATTGATATTGATCAAGTGTCTATTGCGACAGCTGTTATTATTTTATCGCCCAGCCCTGCTCTTTCTTACTGTGTATCTGTTTTTTTACACTCTGGTTTCTTGTATTTTTGCGGCTGAAACTAAAAACGTCCTGCACCGCTTTGTAAACCGACTCCTTAACTTCTGTTACCAGCTTGTATCAGTTACTGAAGAAAAGGCCTCTGTGCTCATGAGCAACACATCCCAGTCTGAGCACGTGTTAAAATGTATTTTCGGTTTAATGATTCGACCAACTTTTCCTCGTGTTGTGTCCTCAGAGTACTACTACTCACGTAGATCAGGCCGGAGTAGTATCGCTCTCTGAGGTTGTGCAGCACGGAGGCTTCGTTCAGGCAGGTGAGGTCAGCCATGTCCTCCACCTTACTGAAGCGTGGAGGGTTCATCCGCTGCACCTCCTCCCTGGACAGAGTCAACTTCCTCTGGCTGTCTGTGAGCTCCACCTCCACCTCGTCGCCTCGCTCTTCACGGATGCTGGCCGACTGAGGAGAATAAGGTAAAGGATGAGTTAGAATTATTGGCAGAGGTGAGTTTTTATTATCTCCATCACTGATGCTTATAAAACGATTACAAGTGGCCAAGTCCAATTCAAGGACTCACAACAATCTAGAGGAAACACAATGCATTTCCTTTGACATTTCCTTGGATTTTGAAGGATGTTAAGGAAAAGAAACAGTGATTCTTACATTTCCTTTGACTTTATTGTAGACAGGATATAGCCAAGACGTTATTTTTTGTCACATCAGCTTCATTTAATCAGTTACATTCTTGCACTTTTAACACCATCTCATTTAGCTGATTAAGTGTTGTAAAAAAGATACTACACTGCACGCTAAGATCCCAGCAGAGAAACCTTTTCAAACAGTCACCACTCAAGTTTGACTAAAAATAGAAAACATCAGGGAGTGAAGCTAGGCTAGTTTTGGGGAGAATTTTTCTTTCAGCTCAGAATAGAATCAAAGTCAAGACCCACGCAGGAGTAGAACATAAATGTACATATTAATTAATTCTGTTGGTATTTATCAAACATAAAAAACTTTTAGTCCAATTTTTGACTATACAGAATTTAAAAAGGGATCCACGATTAGTTGTAACATTAGACTTTATTTGATAAACATATATTTTAACTGTAAAATAAAGAATGTAAAAATACTGTAGGCTGTTTAGTTTTTATCATTTTTAAACTAAATTTTTAAAAATATATTTTAACACGGACTGAGCCATTTTATTTACACAAAGCATACGCTATACTGCCCTATGTATTAGCTCGGCGCTAGCGCAACAAACTAACAAGCTAAACTGAGGTCCTACATATATATAAGATACATATACATATAAGGCAATATAGTGTTGACGCTAACGCTAAAGCTAACAGGCTAATCTGAGGTTGTTCTTCCATGAAGCAGCTCTGTTGTCCTCCATCCATATTTTCAGTTCCAGGCTGAGTCATTTCTACC